TCAAGAAAGTAAATAAAAAACGCATCAGGATATTATTGTATATAAATTATATGATGGCATTTCGATCATTTGCGCGGCTGCATCTTAACGAACGTCACGTGATGTCAGAAAAGCTAAAGTTTCCTCCGGATATCATTTTAACCAATTTATATACTCGCTTTACCGAGACAGCCTTTCGAAAGGCTGGAGGAGTGCAGAAGTAGTTATTTCTTCTATACGTATACGCATCTCGTATCTCATCAATTCATAAGATAGGAAGAACATGATAATGATTTTTTTTTTTCCTAGATCCAAGATGACCGCAAGATATGAAGACAAACTTTTGTGCTATATGTTTACCCTTTGCTTGATGCTCGACGCATTCCGTGTGGACCCAGATTCGTTAAGCGAAGATCTGGCGGTGACTACTAACAAGTAATATTAAAAAATATATCTCGCGACTTTCAATAATCAATTATGCTCACTATCTTCGTTGTTTTATTACTGAATTTTAGGGTTTATAGTATATTTAGAACGCTAGGATGCAAAATCGAAGGATTGAACAAGTCTGAAAAGGAAGCGCTCGGTATTAATGGGGCACAATCGAAACTGGTGAAACGTGCTGTGTTAAATGTCCCACTGGTGCTTCCGGAACCAAAAAAGAGGAAATACGATAGATGAGAAAAAAATAGTGTATAAGGGCTAGTTTTTATATTCCAATTTCTTCTTTTCAACACAGATTTCTTCACGAAATCTCGGAGAATGAACACGTTCTCAAACAACTTTTAAAATTCTAACTTGAATTAAAATATCGTTTACACATTTTATTATAGTAATATTTATTCATCCGGAACTACAGAAATTAAAAATTCTAATAAGCAAGAACGTCATTTACCAAAATAAAAAAGAATGTTCAACAAAATTATGTACCCTCAACTTCACCCGCCTCGATTGCGTCGCTCAAGTCCTTGGGTGATTGTCTGTTTTTCATGTTGTAATAATGCAAGCTGTTTAGAACTTAATCTTAAATAAAGAGATCATAATCACATTAAGATGACAACTGACCCATCAATGGTGCATCCAACACTATTGCAAGTGCCCAAAATTTCTTTAATAGTTCCCTTTAGAGTTTGTGCGTAAGATTTGAAACGCATTGTCCTTGCAATCTCAACCACTTCATCCAATGTTATATTACCGCTGTGCTTGATATTTTTCTCCTTTTTGCGATCTCTTGGGGGTTCCTTAAGAG